GTTCACATCTTTTTCCAGTTTGGGCAACGATTCTTTGAAAAAATGTGTCATTTGCATAGCTGTATTCTCCAGCTTGGTGGTCAACTCCACCAACTGGGTATTCTGAGAATCATTCACTTTTGTGAATTTGTCATCAACTCTTTTGAAATACACATCAGTTGCACTCTTGAAATCTGTCTGGATTTGCGCTAGGGACTGTTTCATGTTATTTTTTATCTGGTCCACGTATTCCTTGTTTGCAGCATCCTTTTTCAAAATAGGTGTTTTGACATTGCACAAATTCAAATTACCGAAATCTATATCGCCTTTAGGAGTATGTGCTAAGCCGCCATCACCTGATGCAATCACCACCAGTTTTCGTTTTCTATCCGAACTACGTCCGAACTTATCGATTGTCATCTTTGAAATGACTGATATTTCATAAACTTATATCTATTGTATAATGTTTGCCTCCTTCAGTTCAGAAATAATGGATACAATCTCATTGTCGAGGGAAGTATTTCCAGCCTGCTTTGATGCTATGAGCAATCTCAAACGTTCACACAACTCATTGGGGTCATCCCAATAGATGTATTCCACAGGCTTGGTATTGTACGTAATCATCATGGGTTCTCTGTTCTTGATATTGCGGTGAATCTTCAAGCCCCGCCCCGTTGTACCACGTCGTGTTCTTGCTTGCGAAGCTGCGGCTGCTGCTGATGGTGGTGGCGGCAGAAACAAAGGTCTAACGATTTCCCTGTACTTGAATCGTGGACTGTGTTTGATCTTCCCATTTACATTCAGATGGGCCTTTGATAGTTCCAAAATTTGTTTGTACCCATACAGATCATCTTTATTGTAATTTTCAGGGACATCGTAGAATATCAGCTCATATATACCAGGAGATCCTTTCACTTGTTTTCCATCAATTTTGATGTAGCCAGTACGTGCATCAAAATCGATTTCTTTGTAGCCGAGCCTCCATTTTGAATTGCTCGAATCATATATAGGACCATATATCTTGTCTATTTTATTGCTGTTTGTCCAATGTTCTTTCATGAATGGAATAATCATTGGAGGATATTGTTCCAGATATGCCTCAATAGCTGCAGGATCGAAGCTCTCCACATCACCTTCTTCTTCTCCTTCATCTCCCTCGAACACTTCATCACCAAAACTTTCACCACTCGTACTAGCAACACGTTCAAGTTTCTGAAAAGGTAGCCCATAAGCTTCTTCTTCTTCTCCTTCCTCTTCCTTTTCAACTTTCTCTTCCTTTTTCGGTAGTAGAGGTTCATTTTTGATGACTGCGTTGTGTAATGAAGTGTTTGCTGCTATTATTTCTTTTAGTGGTGCAGATACAGGATTGAAGAATTTCTGCAACGTTTCATCCTCCTCTGATTTGTCCAATTTCAGAGCCAGATATTTCTTTTTTATATCCTTGGCTATTTCATTGATTTTATTTTTGCGAACGATATCGACCTCTTTGCTGAGTGGTTTCATGTTGACAAATAGGCGTTATCACATCGGGTTTATACTTTTATGAACTTGTCGAAGCCTTGACGATAGCGACCTGCGTTCAGATCGTGATCCTTAACAATAACCATTGCACCATATTTTTCATTCCAACAATCTGCACAAGTTCGCTTGAATTGATCGAATGTCATGTCGGGCGAGACGTGTTCATCAAACACATGCTTCAAATTCACCTCATCCTGTTTGAAGAGCACCACTAGGTTGGTGTTGTCGCGCAACATTTGCTTGGGGGCTTTACTGTACGTCTGTCCTATGTATATAGCATCGATACCTCGATGACGGCACATGGAATAATACTCTTGAATTTTCTGTTGTGAATCGCACGATATGTCATCGAAAATAAAAATGGAATTTGGTTTGGCTTCATTGGGACCCATAATTTCCTCATTAGCTTTAAATGGAAAATATCCAACACCTTTGACCATTCTCAGTATCTTTTCAAGCAACTGGTATTTGGGTTGGTACAGTGACTTTGAGTACACGTATACGTTTTCGAATTTGGCGCCATTGGGGTGAAACAACAATGACAGTGCAGCATTTGTTTTTCCACATCCACTTGGGCCACAAATAATGGCGCGAAATGAGTGTGGTAACAGGACACCATGTTTACCTCGATCGATTCCGCTACTGCTGTCATTCAAGTAGTCCAAGTTTTCGATTGGTAGCGTCTTTTTCTGTTGAACGACTCTCATGATGTGTGACAATTCACAGAGCATTGAGGGCTTTTATAAATGGAGGTGAATTCCAACATCAGTGCTCATTCTTAATGTTGATCTACCGCGGTGAAGGTATAGTCAATACACTCATCAATAAACTACCATTCGAATTACATCTTCCTGGTTATTCGTATTGCGGTCCAGGAACCAAATTACAAGAACGACTAGAACGTGGAGATATAGGCATAAACCCCTTGGACGAAGCCTGTAAAGAGCACGATATAGCCTACTCTCAGAACAACACTTTGGAAGAACGTCATAAGGCTGATCGAGTGCTGGAAAATAGAGCTTGGGGACGTGTCAAATCGAAAGACGCGAAAATTGGTGAAAAAGCTGCTGCTTGGCTCGTCACCACCGATATGAAGACAAAACGAAAACTTGGCATGGGGGTGTCGAAGCAGCAGCAGCAGCACCCATTCTCCAAAATCGTGAAAAATGTGCTGAATGCTCTGAAAAAAACTTTTGACAGCAACGCTGACGGTGGTAGTCATCAAGGTAGTGGTTTGAGTAGATCATCTGCAGCAGCTTTGCGTGCAGCCCATAAGGCAATAAAAAAAGTTGGAGGTCGTAAAAAAATTCGAATTCCCAGAATAATACCACTGCCTGCCACAGGAAAAAGTGGTGGATTCCTACCATTGATACCACTATTTGCAGGCCTATCGGCTTTAGGATCGTTGGCTGGGGAAGCAAGCGCTATCGCAAAGACAGTAATCGATACCAAGAATGCGAGGAAAAAACTGGAAGAGGATAAACGTCACAATCAAGCTATGGAGCATCTGGGTTCCGGTGTGTATCTACGTAAAACACGTAAAGGATATGGACTGTATTTGAAAAAGAGAGGGGGTGGTGGTCGCGGCGGCGGAGGTGGCAGCTGTGGAGCTGAATTATTCTTGAAGAAACAAAAAAACTGATATCCAAGCTACCCAATAGAGCATTATATGATGGAGAGATTGTAAAATACGCCAAACAACTCAAAATACCATATTTTCGAGGAGTTTTCATGCGAGACACGCTACCTACCCGCCCATGGCGACGTCGTGAGTGTGCAGTCATGAATTTAGATTCCTCCATCAATCCTGGTACCCATTGGGTAGCTTATAAAAAACATGGGGATATTGTTCATTATTTCGATTCGTATGGTTGTCTGAAACCGCCGAAGGAATTAGCCGAATATTTCGGAAACAACGTGCAGATATTCTATAATAATGATGTATATCAGAAATACAATCAGATCAATTGCGGCCATTTATGTTTAGCATTTCTATTGAATTCGAAATAAAAATGATGAAAATGAAAACCAAACTATTTGAATTATACATACCTCTACACTGATCCATCAGTCATGTCTTTGATATTGACATTGAAGAGTCGTTCTTCGACGCTCTCTATCGATTTTTCACCTCCAATTCCATTGGATCTCGATTCTGAATATGGCTTAGCTCTACTCAGTTTCCATTCGTACAACAGCGTACCCAACATCGAGGAAGGTACAAAGTTCCATTATTTTGAAAACGGTGACAAAAAACGGAGAAAAAGTATCGATATTCCTACTGGAGCTTACGAAATTGAAGATATTGAAAAGCTGATCAGAAAACATCTTGAACCACCACCTGCATCGAAAAATATGATGTCATTATCTCCATCGCAGAAGCCTGAAGATCTTTTCTATCTCAAACCGAATAATAATACTTTGAAGAGTGAAATTTTCTGCAAACATCATGTAATCGATTTCACTCAGAACAATAGTTTGGCCAACATATTGGGGTTTTCGTCGAGGATCTTGGAAAATGACATTCATCATGTGTCAGATCAGCCTGTGAATATTATAAAAGTTCGAACAATACATGTCGATAGCAACATTACCTCGGGGGCCTTCTACAACGACAGACCATCTCACACGATCTACGAATTTGCCATCGATGCTGACCCTGGTTACGCTATCGACGAAACACCGAATCACCTCATTTATTTACCCATCGCTGCCCATACAAACGAAATCTACAACATCACGCTCAGAGTGCTCGATCAAAACTTTCAACTGGTCAATTTCCGAAACGAAGAAGTCATCATTCGATTGGAACTGAAAAAATTATGGTCCTGAGTGTTTATAAGAGTCGCACCTCCGTTCCTGCTCTTTCAGTCTTCAAGAAGACATTCATCAACCACATTGCCCGCCGCCCACTCAGTACGCGGAATATAGCATTTCTCAAGTCACTCGGCTATCATGTTATCCTCTCAAGTGTTCAACATATTCCGAAAGCCTCACGTCGACGAATCCATACAAAAGGTCGAATGGAGAACATACTACCCTTACGTCAAGTCGTTCCGCAATAATGATGTCATAGAAATCAACATTAATCAGTCTGATGCTTTCGATGCTCTCTATGAAAGTATTTTGCACATTAGCGGAAAAGTAACGAGAACTGAAGGTGCTGGACATGTAGCTTTTGTCAATAATGCTGGTGCCTACATGTTTCAATCCATCAGTTATGATCAGAATGGCAAGGAATTGGAAGCAGTGCGCGATGTTGGAACTGTTAGCACCGTAAGAGGTTATTTGTGCTACAGTGCTGAAGATACGAAACAATTGGCTGTAGCAGGTTGGACCTACCCCAATAACGTTGATGTCATAAATGCGACAAGTTTAGCATTCAGTATGTTTATTCCATTGAAGCATCTGCTGAATATTTTCAACGATTATGAGTGCGTCTCCTATGGTAAACATTCTATTCGTTTGGTGCGAGCTGGAAACGATAATAACTGCTTCAGAATCACCGAAACTGCTGTCGGCGCAGCTGTTGTGCCCACAAAAGTACAACTGGAAATCGAAAATGTGGAACTCAAAGTGAAAAGATTATTTCCAAACGATCAAATCAAACTACAACTCTTGAAGGCAATCAAAGCTGACACCCCCATCCTAATACCCTTCAGAAAATGGGAATTACATATGTTGCCTTCTCTCACGACAGGCGCCACCAATGAAATATGGGCGGTCAAAACTTCTTCGTTTCTCGAAAGCCCTCGATATGTCATTGTTTGCTTTCAAACAGGTCATGATCTGACTAAAGTCAATACTGATCCTACGATATTCAATCACGCAAACATAACGAATATCACATTAACTCTCAATGGAGAAAGTTATCCAAAGGAAAAGATGCAGCTGGCCTTCGATAAAGGAGCCTTTCCACAGGCGTACTTCAACTATACGCAATTTTGATACAGCTATAAAAACACCTCGCTACACACTCCACTCCTGGGTTACCCAGAGTTTGCCAATAAACAACCTCTTTTCGTTATCGATTGTTCGCGACGAGATGAAAGTGTCAAAAGTTCCACTGTCGATGTCAAACTTGAGATTGAGGCATCCCAAGGATTTCCCGCCAACACTCGAGCCTATTGTATCATCGTTCACGATAACATCATTGAGCACCTCCCACTCAGTGAAATTATCAAAAAGTGGAATTGATTCTCAGTTTTCCACTCAGTTTGAGTTCGACCAGCATCATGAGAGTAGCTTTTATAGACATCCAGGGGTTCATTATCGAGCAAGAATTCCGTCCCAAGGAGATTGCCATAAAAATCGGAGTGCAATGTAGTAACTATCTGCTACTTCCATACAAATCCTTTCCATCTCTCAGCAAAGAAGACCGATGTGGTGTATGTTTCTTGGAGAGAAACATTCATGGGCTTAGATATTCTTCCGGCTTCGTGGCATACAATCTACTGGATGATATTCTTCGGGAGAAACTGAGCGACATCGACATCATTTATGTGCGAGGACATCAAAGGAAGGACTTTCTGGACGATAAACTAGCAACATTCAATGTACATGCGAGAGTTGTGAACTTGGAGCGATTCGACGATTCCTGGTACGATGTACCAACTTTCGATCACAACCACACCATCACATCCTGTATGCACCACCTCCGTCGGGAATCCTACAATTGCAGTCTTCGCAACGTTGATATTTTATACAAATGGTTCGATAATATGATACCCAAATGATGTTTCTCAATTATCCAATAAAAATAGTATATTCACTCTAATGAAAATTGTTGTATCATTTCCTCTTACTCTCGATTATGCACGTCAAAACGGCAATACGTTATCTTTCATAAGACATCAGTTGAATATTTCACATTACACACCTTCAAATGGCCCACGTCCGTATTACGGAGTAACACCCAAATACTTGAACGTCTGGCAACGATGCGGTGCGCCGCGCACCAAGTATCCAACGTCTGCCGGTGAAGGCGACCCGCGCGCTGGCTGGCCGGCCGGCATGTTATATCCCCAACTTGAACACAAACATTTACTTGTGGATGTGGCGCAATGGTAGCGCTTCGGACTCACAGTCCGTCGGCCGGGGTTCGATTCCCCGTTCGCACAGCTCACAGCTTTTTTTATTTAATTTGGAATATCCAATTTGGCGCAAAAATGACGTCACCATACGAATAATACATATTATAAATACAAACATCAAGAAGTTAAAACTATCGCCACATCTACAGCGCCACCTAGGGAGTGTTACTTGCGGCTTTGAATCAGAAACGGCTTAGTCCTTCTACTTACTCAATCATGAATCACAACAATTCATTCCACACATGCATATCAACTTAAACATGATAGATGGAATTCCTTCAGCCAAAAAGCCCAGGTTATCAAAAACCAGAAAGCTCAAACTGAAACCAACCTTCATCAGTCAGTAAGACCAAATTCTCAAAAACCAGAAAGCCCAAACTGATCCTTATCAGTCAGAAAGGCCAAACTGATCCTCATCAGTCAGAAAGCCCAAACTAAAACCAACTTTTTTAATTTTGGTTTTTATTATTATATATACTGAAAAAAAAAGGCTCATAAACTCATAAACAATATGAACGCACCAACTCAATGGAGGATTACAACATTTTTTTCTCATTTAAGATCATTATGCAAAGAACAATCATCATCATGCTACAATAACTATATTTCTAAAGTTGAAAACGGAATTATCTCTGATCCCAAATTATTCTGGAATATATTCGCTCCAAAAATCAGGAGGATGGTATTCCCAATAAGATATTCTTTAATGATGAGGTTGCAACTGATGGCAATTCAATTGCAAATCTTTTGTTGAACATTTCTCTTCAGTATACGCCAGTGACAATACCTCTATAGATCCTAGATCAGACAGTGAATTTGATTCCATCAGCATTAATAAAATATTTATAAATATTTCTGACATTCTCGAAAAACTTCAGAGCATTGATTGGTTTAAAGGGGCTGGCTCTGATACTATACAAGCAATCTTCATAAAATCTTGTGCATTTTCATTGTCCCGTCCACTCTGGATTATTTTCAATAATTCTCTTCAATCAGGTACTTTCCCAGATTTTTGGAAAAACTCTTATGTTGTGCCAATTTACAAGAAGTCAGGAAGAAAAAACTCTGTATTAAATTATCGCCCAATCACAAAGATATCGCTCATACCCAAAGCATTTGAATCTATTGTAAATGATTTTCTGAAATTCAAATTCAAAAATATCATCAGCTCAACACAACATGTTTTCTGCCAAGAAAGATCTATTACTACAAATCTTTTATTCCAGGAGAACTACATTGTCGATGCAGTCAACAAATTTAACACTGATTGTCAATACCAGGCAAAAATCTTAGTTGATAGCGAATAAACATGTTGTAACAACTCATCATCATACCACCCTGTATATTTTCTGCTCTGCCTGTGGAACCCTTTTTTGCTCCGTTTTCGCGAAAACGGCCAGCGAGAGAATAAACCAAAAAAAAATATTTGTCTAGCCTCAGATCTTGACTTGTCAACAATGCCAACATTGTTCGTATGTTCTACTCACAGAACTCGTTCTACCTACTCGCATTTAAAGTTTTCGTACAACGATCATCTTTTTATCAATAACAAAAAAAATCAATAGAGTGGTACCATATAAACAAATTTCTTTAAAACAATTTCAGATTCGTCCCATCTATTCGTGTAATTTTGATGAACCTTGAAAATCTTTGACAGTCTCATGTATATTGAAAATCACCAGAAATCTCTCATTTGTTGATGAATCATGCAAATCCCACGGAAATATTGCAATCTTTGAAGATCATTACAAATCTCATCGATCTGATCCAAACTTCTTCAAATCTCACAATATCCAATCTACTGTTCACCTTTTGTTGAAATGAAACACAGCTCGGGCACGAATGAATCATGAACAACGAACATTACCTGCATTCTCGAATATCCAGAGATATTCATTCAAAAATTATGTTACATACATCAACTATCATCACAAACTGAAATTGCAAATTCATCGAACGAAATTCCAAAATATATATCGTGTAATCGCCAATACAATTGAAAACGGTAACAACAAACGTTCAGTAAGTAGGTACATTCCAATACCAATAATCATCTGATATTTGATCGAAATGTCAACGTTATCAGCGTTTTCGAGACAAACAAGTGGCAAAAAAAATACTGGATTTCAGGATCGAACACGAAATTCCCTACTGGACCTTCGTACTGTTGGTACATTGGTATTGCTTATTTTAAAGAAGTCATGTACTTACAGTTCAATAAAACATCACATAACGGCATAACGCCGGGAATGCATCACGCATAAATACCTAAATACCTCAACCACAGTTATCTGTTTCGCAGTGAAAATCGCCGGAAAAATAATTGCATTATGTCACTTCACCGGGGCATGAATTCAACCACTTCTGATGTTATATTATGGTCATAATATAATAAACACGAGCACAAATGACATGGACAAGGGTTACACTTGTTCACCACTCGGCTGCCATCAGCCGAATACTATATGAACCAGTCTTTACACACGTCTGTCATAGGCTCTGATCTAAGCACATTCCACTGAGCAGTGGCGCATCTAGTTGCTAGATGCTAACACAATGTATAGAGACTTTTTTGTTGGTCGTCTTGATTTCCATAGATTTTCGGGCGGAAAACATACACTCGTCACTAACTTCATTTTTTCAATGAACTCAGAATTATTTCGCGTCATGACGTCGTACTAATTTTTTTGTTTTTCGTGATACGGTGTTCGGACTTTCTCCATGTGATAGGCCTATGCGGAAGTCGACAATGGTGTTGTGGTATGTTTCGATTTAGATTTTCGATATTTTGTGCCGTTCTCGAGATATTTGAGAAAATATGAATATCGGGGACAATTTATGAAGACTTTTCCGTTGGTCGTCTTGATTTCTATCGAATTTTGAGCGAAAAACATACACTGTCACTCCCTTTTTTCTCAATGAACTTAGAATTATTCCGCGTCATGACGACGTACTAATTTTTTTGTTTTCCGTGATACGATGTTCGGACTTTCTCCATGTGGTAGGCCTATGCGAAAGTCGACAATGGTGTTGGGGTATGTTTCGATTTAGATTTTCGATATTTCGTGCCGTTCTCGAGATATTTGAGAAAATATGAATATCGGGAACAATTTATGAAGACTTTTCCGTTGGTCGTCTTGATTTCTATAGAATTCAGGTCGAAAAACATACACTTGTCACTCACTTCTTTTTTTCAATGAACTTACAATTATTTCGCGTCAGGACGTCGTACTGATTTTTTTGTTTTTCGTGATACGGTGTTCGGACTTTCTCCATTTGGTAGGCCTTTGCGAAAGTCGACAGGGGCGTTGGTGTGTTCTTTGATTTAGATTCCCGATATTTAGTGCCGTTCTCGAGATATTTGAGAAAATATGAATATCGGGACTTTGAAAAATTTCATCAAATATAATACTTTTCCAATTTTTTTTCCAGTGGAGAGGCAATTTTGAGTAACAATTTATGAAGACTTTTTCGTTGGTCGTCTTGATTACAATTTTGAGTAAAAATGTATAGAGACTTTTTCGTTGGTCGTCTTGATTTCTATCGAATTCCGGGCGAAAAACATACAATTGTCACTCACCTTTCTTTTTTTCTCAATGAACTTAGAATTATTTTGCGTCATGACGTCGTACTAATTTTTTTGTTTTTCGTGAAACGGTGTTCTGACTTCCTCCATGTGGTAGGCCTATGCGGAAGTCGACAATGGTGTTGGGGTATTTTTTGATTTAGATTTTCGAAATTCATTGCCGTTCTCGAGATATTTGAGAGAATATGAATATGAAGAGGCAATTCTGAGTAATGATGTAAAGATACTCTTTCGTTGGTCGTCTTGATTTCTATCGAATTTCGGGCAAA